AGGTTGTTACGATGGAGGAAATGGAGACCTTAAAAGTGTTAAATCTACTGCACACACTTCACTGCCAATATCTATTCATTCTGAAATTGGTATGAGGCTGAAAGGTTAAGAAATAGACATAATAATCACCTTGCACTTTCAAAAAAATTATTATGCCCCTTGAGTACATTTTGAGCCTGCTGCTTTCAGAGAAGTGATGTGAAAATTACATGGTAAGGAGCCATTGTCCATCGTTTTCTGACAACCTTGGGTGTCTAAATAGGGTCTTTGTCTTTTAGCTTCGACACAAATTCATTTAATAGCAGAGTTATCTTTTGTTTAAAAGTGCTGAAAACTATGGGGCAAAATTAAAAAGAAATTGAGCATTAAGGTGGAATTTCAATTTGTAATATGGGTTTTATTGAACTTTTAATAATCTAGTCATCTTTGTAGTCTTTGTTACAGAATTGTTAAAACAACTGCCTGTAGTACTGTTTGAATATTTTTAGGGAATTAATTCTGCAGTGTAAGTGATAATAGAAGAGAGTACTGTCTCTCAGTTATGTCCAACAGGAATAACTTCCATGTTTAAGACAATAAAGGCTAGTTGAAGGATGACATCTTTCCTTAGCAAGGTCCTGTATGATTTTGTAAGAAACAGTCGCAGAAGGCTTCTGAAATTTAAATGAGTCCTGAACAGAAAAAGGCAGTAAAACTATTTTTACTGTATATTGTGTAGAAAAATCAAAATTGTGTCAGCAAACATTTTACTACAGTTGGACACAGATAAAAAATGGAGCCGCACACGTCTGATTTTGGTTGGCTCCAGAGACTTGAAATTTTCTTTTCACTTATGTCCTTCTTTATTTAAACAATTATTGGCTTGACTGGACCAATTAACTATCTGTTTCCAGTTCTTACAACTCGAATACACCTGTCAAGCGTTGTGTGTTATAACCCTCCAGCAGCAAGCTGCGATGTCCTTTTATAGAGCATTAGAAATGTCAGTTATTGATAATGTACTGTATATTTAAAGTAGCTTTCCCTTTGTGGCCTTGCATTAAAGTATTCAAAGTTTTTAATATTGACTAAAAAGTCCACCATGAGATTAATTTGTTTAGTTCACTGTCTATAATCTCAAGGTCACTGAACATTTATCAAATATAAAAGATTAAAAGGTTTACAGTACAACTGTATGAGATAACGGGTAGGGCTCTGGATTTATAATCAGAAGGCTGGGGATTCAAATTTATTTGGGGGCACATTTATTTGTTGTATCCTTGGGCAATGTTCTTTGATAGGATGTCTTTGATAAAATGTGCTCCTGTATTAATGTGAGTTAGTAATAATGAAGAGCTTTTGTTCATTGGAATTAAATAACTCATAAATCAATGTCAGTGTAGAGTTTGCTAGCATCCGTTGATGTTGTGATGAAAGAGTTGATGTTTTTCATAACTTAGAAATCACCCACCAAATTTAGAATGGCCAGGGTTATTTAATCTCGGCTCAAAGTGATGACCGCTGTACCCAATGAGCTGTTCCACAGTGATGAACAGGAAACTCAATTGATCAGCAATGTCTGGAACTCAACCTTGACTCAGATTGAGCGCTTTTACGAATTGAGTCACTTAATAAGATGATCATCTAATATAGATAGGCGCTAAGTTATTTAAAGAACATACTGTACATCGCATGATATTTATAAAGCAACAAGTCATACAAATAAGGCAAGGCTGTGAATTTTATTGTCTTTTTTAATACCTCATTAGGATTAAAGATTAGAATGTCCAATTCTTTTGGGAGTGTAGGGTGAACCTGAAAGTTAACAATTAATTGGCAATTGTGTAAAATGAACTTGGTATGGACTGAAAATAGACAATGGTTTCCACATAACATAAGCTAAGGATAATCACACCCCCAAAATTGATCCAATAGGGCAGTACCTGGTGCATTGTATTGGTCACAATGGATAGTATCAAAGGCTGCCGTCTAGCCCATTCATTCCCACAATATTCCGACAGAGTCAAGGATTTCAAATGTGCGTCTTAACCACAAGATCACTTGAAGTGTTTATACTGTAAAACAATAAATATAAAAAAATATTCCTTTGTGAAGCAGACCTGACTGCATAATACAGTATAATCTATTTTCCTGACCGTACCATTCTTTGTTACAGCAGATTTACTTCAGACCTTCTTAACAGCTAATGAATTGTTGGTCTGTGAATATTTGGGGTTTTTCTCTTTGTTTGGAATCACTGGGTGGAGAATGTGGGGATCAAATTGGCAGCTATGTAAACAAATCTATGTTAAATTATTAGATTATAAGTATCCAACCATTCAGCGGCTTCTTATAATTGAGGGTTGCGGGGGAGCTAGAGCCTATCCCAGCAAGCAACAGGCGCTAAGCAGAGTCCACCCTGGATGGGACACCACTGTGGAAAAAACACAAGCACTGACATATCCAGTTTTCCCAGAAGCCAATTAACCTATCAGTATGTCTTTGAACTGTTGGGGAAAAACTGCTGCAAACCCATGTGAACACAGGGAGAACATACAGACTCCACACAGATAATTGAATCCAACTGAAATTGAACTGAAGGCCCTAGCACTGCAAGGCAGCAATACTGGCCACTGCACCACCATGCTGTTTGTGTTAAAGTGATATAATAACAGGATGGGGGAACGGAGATTGTTCCTCCACTGTGCCCACAGTCAAACCATCTGACTGCAGCTGGAGGAGAGGAGTGTCGTCAGTGCTGCTATTGCCAGCTTGCAAGTTCCCAGCAGGCCTCTGTGAGTCCTGACATGTGATAAGCTGGCTGTTTCACACAAGCCCAACCCTGGTAGTTCTCAGTCATTTATGCACCTCTTTGGAAATCCCATCACAGTCACTTAAAGTCATGGCTCAAACCTGAACTGATAATATCTGGACTTTAGGTGGAAAAAACACTTTAGATAAGCACATTTACTTGTTGAGCAACTGAGGACCTCTCAATGTAGTGGATTTTAGTGGATTTTAGACTACATAGAGAGTGATCTTGAATCTTCAAAATCAAGAAGAAGAGGGTCCTGAGTTGTCTTAAGTAGTGCAAAGTGTTTTTACTATGTGTCCATCAGGACTTGTACTTGTGTGGACAGTGGTTTTCAGGTTACACATTGCAACCTGGTGACTGTTTTCTCAGGGGCGCATGTCCTGCAAATTTCTATGGCAGTATTCTTTCTATTGATTTTTTTTTAATTCAGTGTTCAAAATCAGCCATTCAGCGGTGAAATGACAGTTCCCAGAGAAGGGCTTCATGTCTTAAGTGAGCCACCCAATTAATCAATTTCTATTAAGGACCATAAATGCCTGCTTTTAGCAATTTAATGGAGAAAAAAATCAAGCACAACATTTCAGGACACATTTTATAAAACTGTTACTGAATTAAACTGTAAATATGTGGTATGGTTAAGAAAAACATATCTTGGAGTGTTTTTGCTTCACAAGCCTGTGAAGCAAAAAAATGATTTTTCTTTGAACGTGTTTAGAACATGACATATTAAAGAAAAACAGACTTACTCCATTATACATACTAAAACATTTGTGCTTCAATTGGATTTTGATGCTAGGGCCAGTAAGAAATACAGGATACAACAGCTTGTTCAGAATGAGTACTTTCATTGGTTCTTAGTATTTACAAGACAAATTGCTTTGCTGTACAGTCCTGGTTGGGTTTAAGCCTAAATTCAGTCATGATGTGCTTCTTATCAATTCCATTGGCTTGAGCAGTAAGTTATGGTTCTTGAGCAGTAAGTTTCTACAAAGGAGAAAACTGATTTATTGCTTGGAGCCCTTGGCTTTTTTGTTTTTCATTTGACATAAACACATTAAAAATATATTAATTGCAACAAATTTATTTACTAATTGTTATACCATACAGCTGTATAGTATGTGTGACTGTATAAATCTACTAAACATTTTTGCTCTAAATTCAAGTCTAATGATAGGAGGTTTGTAAATGTACCCATATTCTATAGGTGGACAGCTACCTGGGTAGCTGATATTTTGATTCATAATCAATTGTCACTGTTCTGTAAACAGATTTGCGCCCTGCTACCCTTAAGTACTATGCATACCAGTTTATAAATGTTTATGAATGCATTTTAATAAAGCATTAAGAAAAGTGAAAACATAATTAAATATTGACCTCATCACACGAAATTTTAAATGCTGTGTAACATATTTGAAGATGTGTGATATTTATAATAGCATTTTTATTACTCCTAGACATAAAGCAAGCTGCTTAAGAGCTTTAGAAATCAGAAGAATATGTAGATTTTTTTTATTTTAAACAATTTTCTCCAAGTCTTAACCTTTTTTTTTTCAAAATATCCCCCTAAATATTAAAACAGAGATATATTTTTTTAAATGATTTCCTAGCCCGTTCAACAGTTCAGTGGTTAATCTGTTGCACATTCTGTACAAAGCATGTACTGGTATGGTCAAACCCATTGAGATGTGAGCCATTCATTAGCATGACATTTAGGTCAGAACCTCTTAGGTTCTGAAAGAGAAAGACGCATTGTGACAGGATTACTAAAGGCACAGAGGCTGTTGTTGCATGCCACCGCCAGTTTTCTTAAGAGTTGAGTAATATCCACAGCTTTTAACTTGTTTTCCTTTGGCACATAATGGAACTTCCTCATACATTACACATTTTAGTGCAAAAAAGTGGGCCTACTAAAGGAAACTAAACATTCCCTTGAAATGAATGAGTGGTTCGTTAACTCACTGAAGATTTAAAAGATGTGGCACATGGCTGTTGATTTAATGTGCATTTGTTCTTGCTTGTTTTATTACAGTAACAAAAGAAAAAGAAGATGGCTCTGTAGAAGTGTAATGGTTAATTGTTCTCTCCTTGTCAGGTGAAATATAAGAAAGACTTTGAAGAAAGCAAAGGGAGAGGATTCAGCATTGTCTCAGACACACCAGAGCTCCAAAGACTGCGAAGGACGCAGGAACAGATAAGTAATGTATGCACCGGTTAAATTTTTGCTTGTTTTCTGATTGTGACTGAGAGATATCTTTGTTCATGAAGCAACATGACCGAATATTGCATGATAATGGAGAAAATGCGTGAGTGAGACTGGGTGTCAGCTGAGAGGTGCGTTTGAAGTGGAGTGTAAATTGCATAAATGTGTGTCAAGGGTGCATTTTGATACCCATCTGAGACAAACAGGCTCATCATTTACGTGATACAGAAAGGTGTTTGATTTTTTTTCTTGTCTCATAATTCGCTTTCTCATGCTGTCTTACCAATGTGTACTTCTCTAGCTTTACTTTTCTCTTGCATTTCTGTGTTTATGTATGCTGCGTGCACATTTTTTTTCCCCCACTTGACACATGTTAAACGACACAACATTAAGCCAAAAGGGTGACAACCACGAATAAGTGTCAGATTCAATCAATTTCCCTTGGAGCGAGAAGAAAAATAGAAGGTGAAGTTGGACCCCCATGAACTTTTTGGAACATAAATCTAAAATGAAATTTGCGGTATATTTAAAAAAAAAATCAAATCGACCAGATCCTGCAGAGTAAAGCCAATGGCTGGACCATGTCTGAGCTGGCCTCCACAAGAAGACAATGAACCTTCCAGAAATCCTGTTTTCCTGAAGAGTGCTTTGATACACTGGAGCCTATTCCAGGAGCACAGGGCATGAGGTGTAACTGGGAGCACACAGCAGCTCCCAAATTTCACAATTTGCAAAATTCACTAAAGCAGGGTTTATTGATTGTTTACGAGGAAGATGATACAGTGCTTAAAGGTAACTCATTCTGCAAATACATCATACTATTATTACATAACAAAATAATATAAATAAAGAGGCTTTCTTTTTTTGATACATTAAGTCCTGTTGCAATCAAATGTTCCTCAATGGACACTTTTGTTTGACAAAGAAATCGTTTTCTGCCCTGGCCGTGTTTGAGCATGTTTTTAGAAAAAATCTCTAACCTGCTTTTAAAAGCTATTATTTATATTTTAAATTCAAGAGAAAGGGAAAAATAAACTCTCCAAAAGCTCTCTAATGGGACTTTTTACAACCAGAATTCTGCAGGAACTTTTGGCCA